ATTCGTTCCCTCCGGTCAAAACCTTACCAGGTGTATCCGACCATTTCATCCACCATTCAGAAGAGCACCCGTCATAAAGTGTTTGTCTTTCACAAAACAGATGTTGATGCCTTGCAAAAGGACATGCATTCTTTCCAGAACTCCTCCCTTGGTGACCATGATTCAAGAACAGTTGAGGGTAACTGGGAAATGTTTAAAGCGGCTCTACACCCTGCAGTTTATAAACATATCCCGTCATACATCAGAAGTTCCCGCTTCAATCTTCCTTGGATGAATAGACCATTGAAACAACTGATCCGGAGGAAGAACAGATCATTTAATAGAACAAAACAAACAAATAAACAAACAAACAACACCAAGCATTGGCAAAGATATAAATCCCTGAGGCGCTCCACCCAGACAGAAACCTGGAAGGCTGAGAGAGAATACATTGCTACGGAGGCTTTTGAATCTCTACACTCTAAGCCAAAAAAATTCTGGTCCTTCATCAAAAGCAGAAGGAAGGATGCCTCAGGAATTGCAGCTCTGCTTCTCGATAACAAATTGGTGAGCAGTGCCAAGGAGAAAGCTGAAGCCCTTAGTAGGCAGTACAAGTCGGTGTTTACACAGGAGAAACTAGACACCTTTCCACCATCGAATTTTTTTTTTTTTTCCTCAAATCCCAGACCTGAAGATAGGTATAGCTGGCATTCAAAAACTGCTTGAAAAATTGTGCCATTCAAAGCACCCGGACCAGATTGCATTCACCCTTTTGTCTTGAAAAGACAATGAAACACAATGTTTTAAGTGACTCTTAACATGGATATAGGTCACACAGATCCTGTGAAACCCAACTTCTCACCACAGTTCACAATTTATTCTCTTCTGCAATGAACCAAAGCCAGGTTGACGCTATGTGCTCGATTTTGCCAAGGCGTTCGACACTGTGCCGCATCAGAGACTACTCAAGAAACTTCATCAAGTTGGCATTCATGGATCACTTCATAAATGGATTTCTAGACCTGAAGACACAGGAGTGGGAGCAGCGCTGGCAGATGTCAATTAAACCAGAAAAATTCCACCTGAAATAACCATTAGGCAGCCAGAAATAAAAACGAGACGCTCAAAACCCAACTACCTTCAGATCCCCTTCACCAATATTAAAGGCCTCCAACACTCATTCTTTGATCAGACCAGCAAGGACTGGAACGACCTCCCTCAGCACATTACTGGCATAGGAGACAATAATCAATTTAGTGATGCCCTTAAATCCCTCAGCACTAGTCAATAGCATGTCCACCCCTTCCAAGCTGGGTGATGTTCCTGTCGGAGCTTATGCAGTCTTGCCGATTTCCAAACTGCATGGTTGGCCCATTTATCCGCTTTCCAACGGTATAAAGTTTGTCCAGAACCGTCCATGTAAAGGTACCATTAGACTGCGATAAATGAGAGCCATTCGGGTTGGTGCTGACAAGCCTTGCTATGGGACTTACTGCACAAAAACGAAACAGGTGGCATCAGCTAATATATCTGCAGATTTCTCCAAAAGTGTCATGTCTCGAGCCTTGCCGATATGCATGCTGGTTGGCCCATTCATCCGCTTTCCAACGGTATAAAGTTTTTCCGGAACCGTCCATGTTAAGGTACCTTTAGACTGCGATACATGAGAGCCATGTGGGCTGGCGCTGACAGGCCTTGCTATGGGACTTACTGCACAAAAACGAAGCTAGTGTCATCAGCTACTACATCTGCGGTTTTTTTCTCGAAAGTTTAAGGTCTAGAGCCTTGCCTTTTTGCATGCTGGTTGGTCCTTTCACCCGCTTTTTAACAGTATAAAGTTGGTCCTGAACCGTCCATTTGAAGGTACCTTCAAACTGCGATACATGGGAGCTATGCGGGTTGGCGCTGACAGGCCTTGCTATGTATGGGACTTACTGCACAAAAACGAAACTAGTGTCATCAGCTACTAAATCTGCGGTTTTCTCCAAAAGTTTCAAGTCTAGAGCCTTGCCGCTTTGTAAACTGGGTGGCCCATTCATCCGCTTTCCAACGGTATAAAGTTTGTTTAGAACATTCTATGATAAGGTACCTTTAGACTGCGATACATGAGAGCATTGCGGGTTAGCGCTGACAGGACTTGCTATGGGACTTACTGCACAAAAACGAAACTCGTGGCATCAGCTACTACATCTGCGGTTTTCTCCAAAAGTTTTAAGTCTAGAGCCTTGCCAATTCGCATACTTGTTGGCCCATTCATCCGCTTTCCAACAGTATAAAGTTTGTCTAGAACCGTCCATGTTGTGGTACCTTTAGACTGCGATACATGAGAGCCATGAGGGTTGGCGCTGACAGGCCTTGCTATATGGAACTTACTGCACAAAAACGAAGCTAGTGGCATCAGCTAGTACATCTGCAATTTTCTCCACAAGTGTCATCTAGAGCCTTGCCGATTCGCATGCTTGTTGTCCCATTCATCTGCTTTCCAACGCTATAAAGTTTGTCCAGAACTGTCCATGCATGTTAAGGTACCTCAAGACTGCGATACATGAGAGCCATGCGGGTTGGCGCTGACAAACCTTGCTATGGGACTTACTGCACAAAAACAAAGCTAGTGGCATCAGCTAGTACATCTGCAATTTTCTCCACAAGTGTCAAGTCTAGAGCCTTGCCGATTCGCATGCTTGTTGGCCTATTCATCTGCATTCCAACAGTATAAAGTTTTCCCAGAACCGTCTATTTGAAGGTACCTTTAGACTGCGATACATGAGAGCCATGCGGGTGGGCACTGACAGGCCAACAGTATAAAGTTTTTCCAGAACCGTCTATTTGAAGATACCTTTAGACTGCGGTTACATGAGAGCCATGCGGGTTGACGCTGACAGGCCTTGCTATGTATGGGACTTACTGCACAAAAATCTGGCATTTTCTCCACAACTCTTTGGTCTCAAACCTTGAAACTTTTTCAGCTTGTTAGCCTATGCAGCAGCTTTCGTACAATATATAGTTTGCCTAAAACTTCCTATGTTGAGGTACCTTTTGACTGCGATATAGAGAGCCAGTATGCCTGGGTGCTGACAAGCCTTGCTAAGGGATTTACTGCAAAAAGTGGAAACTACAGGCATAATGTGCTACATCTGGGATTTTCTCTACAACTCTTTGGTCTCAAGACTTGGAACTATTCCAGCTTATTGACCTATTCAGCAGCTTTTGAACAATGTATAGTTTGCCTAAAACTTCCCATGTTGAGGTACTGCTTGAGTGCGATATAGAGAGACAGTATGCCTGGGCGCTGACAGGCCTTACTGTGGGATTTACTGCACATGGTGAAAACTACAGGCATAATGTACTACATCTGGCATTTTCTCCACAACTCTTTGGTCTCAAGACTTGAAACTTGTACAACTTGTTGGCCTATTCAGCAGCTTTCGAACAAGTATAGTTTGCCTAAAACTTCCTTTGTTAAGAAACCTTTCAACTGCGATATAGAGAGCCAGTATGCCAGGGCGCTGACAGGCCTTACTATGGGAATAACAGCACAAAGTGGAAACTACAGGCAAAATGTACTACATCTGGCATTTTCTCCACAACTCTTTAGTCTCAAAACTTGAAATTTTTCCAGCTTGTTTGCCTATTCAGCAGCTTTTGAACAATGTATAGTTAGCCTAAAACCTCTTATGTTAATGTACATTTTGACTGCGATATAGATAGCCAGTATGCCATGGCGCTGACAAGGATTACTATGGGATTTACTGCACAGCGTGGAAACTACAAGCGTAATGTACTATATCTGGCATTTTCGCCACAACTCTTTGGTCTCAAGACTTGTAACTTTTTCAGCTTGTTGGCCTATGCAGCAGTTTTGGAACAATGTATAGTTAGCCTAAAAGGTACATTTTTACTGCGATATAGAGAGCCAGTATGGCTGGGCTTTGACAGGCCTTGTTATGGGATTTACTGCAAAAAGTGGAAACTACAGGCATAATGCACTACATCTGGCATTTTCTCCTCAACTCTTTGGTCTCAAAACTTGAAAATTTGGCTGCTTGTTGGCCTATTCAGCAGCTTTCGAACATTGTATAGTTTGTCTAAGACTTCTGATGTTAAGGTACCTTTTGACTGCGATATAGAAAGCCAGTATGCCTGGGCGCATAAATTGCTTGAGTACTTTTAGAAAATCTAGAAACAAGTTTGATAATGATTGTACTCATAAAAATAAAACTTGTACCAAAGAATTATTACAATTAAGAAAACACTGTTCTATACTATTCAACGGATCAACGATGCACTTTTTTTCTGAAATATAATTGTTTTGCATTCATTCACAAAAAGATACTCTACGTAGACAATTTTTAATTTTGTCATGATTTTATTTCGGTGTTTTTTTTCTTGATCTCAACAACAGCAATCCGTTTAATGGGGACGACTTTATGAAACTATACGATTTGCAAATCAAGCAGAAAGTTTCTGCTAAGCAACTGAATTTTATGAGCATTTGGTGGGGTTTTTGGGCTTTGCAGTTAAATGAAATGGACAACCAGGATTAAAATTCCAAAGTCTTGAAATTTTTGTAATTTCTCTTGCTCTACTTCTCAGGCAAAAGTATTCATGTTTCTGATATACATTGTAATTCAGTAAGCGCAAACGATTTTATAGATAAACGTGCTTTAATGCGTATAAAAAGGTACAAGATACAAAATAGTTTTAAAATGTAAAAACCAATTACATTTTGAAAAGTCGTTTCTTGAATAAAACTACAACAATCTATACTACAATTCCTTTTACAATCCAGCCCTAGCGGCTGTTGAGGTAAGCCTTTAAATTTCTAGGTTACATATTTTTTAACTTTATTATTTTGGTGACTTGGTAAAATACATGATTGATAATCTGAGTAAAGTTAGCTGTATCAGCCATGTGGTCGGGAAGGGCGATTTCTAAAGGTTACGTAACACTTTATTTTGAATGAAACTACATGTACACAAACATGTTCAGCTTGGCGGGCAAAATCTTCTTTGAAAATTAATTGTAGCCAGACTATTCATGCGTTCCAAGCCCCCCTTTTTACATTAGGGTATGTTTAATCACAAATTTTAATTTACTCATTAGAGCAGACTGGTATATATTTGTAATTAACTTGATTCCAGGGCTTTCCTTTACATTTGCAAGGTCAAAAAATTAAGATTTTATACACTTTCAATTCAATATTGCCGACACGTGAATGAAGCCCATTTGTTTTAAATTTATCTACACATGGGATGTTGTGGTCACGAGATTCCAACTATCAGCAACTGGGAGTCAGGTTGCCGCAGTGGTTACTGTCCTCACCTTTCGCCGCACTGTCCAGGGTTCGATTGCTGTCCTGGTCCACATGTGGATTGGGTTTTCAGTCCCTACTTTGATTCTTTAAGTTTTCCCAAGAATTTCATTCTGGGGGTTTTCTCCCACCTCCGAAACTGTAATTTTTTTCTCATTGTCTACTCTCTTTAGGTTTCCTCGGGCTTTCGAGCTACAATGCCTATTGTGCACTTTTGAGAAATCCTCGGTTTCATAACCAGAAAAAAAAGTAAAAAACTGTTCTCATCTGCCTTGCACGTGTGTCTCTTGAACTGTGATTGGTGTAAAAGTGGTGACCTAAACTGTATACTGCAAAAAGCAAAAGAAACTTAAATGTTTGACTTGCCCATCGGTTACCCATCGGTTGCCCGTTGGTATGACGTCACAGGGCATATGGGTTATATATGCTCTAGTTCTATGCTAAAGATACTCCTCTCTAATACTCTCAGAACATTGTGAGTTATAGGTTTTCCTATTTTTTTAAAACAATTCCTTACTGGTTTTCTTTTGGGGGGTTTCAAACAACCATCTGGCTGGCAGTTAGTACCACACTTTGCATCTGCTATATTGACTTTTGTACATGTAGTTTCCCGACTGACAACCGAAGGCTCTTTGGAAATTTTCGTTGTTCTGCAACGGACCAATAACCCTGAAAAGAGAAGGAGTAAGTTTTTCATATTACCCATGTGTATGCAAACTTTTGCTGTGAAAACCCGCTCAAAATATAAATTTCGTACACAGTACTTCGCTTACTTAATGGTGGCATGATATTGAAGTGATTTTGTTTTCGTCAGGGAATGACTAACCTGAATCGGCCGGGGCTGTGCTTCCCATATTTGACCATCAAGTCTGCCCCTTCGCGCGTCATAACACTGCACCACACCTATCAATTTAAACGTAAAGGCACGTTGGAACATTAGTACAAACGCGGAAACGGAACAACGCAAATTATGATGATACAAACACCCTTTGAAATTATTCCGCCTGCAATTGCATTCATTGGAAGAAAATAACAAAAGGCAAAATAAAACGCCAGCCATCACAATCGCCTACACTAAAATGTTTTGGAAGTTTCTATATAAATTGTGAACACGCAACGTAACCCAAAGAAACAAAATAATTAGGTCTGGCTTATTGTATGGCTGTAATATATTCAATAAACACGAAACATTAAAGACAAGATGATTGACAACAGAAAATCCCCTTTCTGTCATACGTGCTGGAGCAGATGAAATACCGAAACGTCCACTTAAGATGACATCCCAAACATGTATATTTATTATTTCAGCATCAAAATGTTTATGATAGGCCTGCATCCTTAAAATTGGCAATGAAGGAGTTTAAATAAGGCTATAAGGCATAAGGGTCATTTCAAATTGACTTTACGCTAATATAAAGTATAACTGGAAGACCTAATGTTGATCCTTTTCCTACCTGTGAGTAGGACAGGAAGAACAATTGATCATTCGTGAGATCTTTTAATCCAGGAAGCTGTCTCTGTACACTAGGCGTGTTAGTCTTGTAAGCCTGAGTGGAAGAGAAATGCAACGGACGGAATATTAGGTAGGGTATAAAAGTGCCGGGTCAGATTCCACCTGACACTTTTCAAGGTCGAAATGACAATTTTGCCCTGTCTGTATGACACTTGCTTGGGTCAAAATGACAATTTTGCCGTTTCAGTCTGACACTTTCTGGGTCGAAATGACAATTTATAGAGTCTGAATAACAGCTTTCCGGGTCAACTGGCTTGGGAGAACGAAACAGAGAAATTTCGTTTTGACAGTGTCATACAAACTCGGCAAAATTGTCATTTTGACCTGGAGAATGTCGGATCAAAATTTGTCCCAGATTCCGAGTCAAATCAGTCCCAGATTTTGGGTCGACTTTGATCCAATTCCTGGCTCGAATCTGACCCAGGACAGTCAAGAGTGGGGCGATTCGAGTCAAGCCAGTGTGACTTGGGAACGCCAAACGTTCGTCTGACCATAGAATCAACCCGTTTCATTTTGTTCATTCATGGAATCCTTCACGGGATCAGAGCAAATCAGATCGTCTGTTTAAGGTTGTTTGTGTTGCTGCTATATTTTTTATGTTTGGATTATTGCCTCACACTTACCACTGAGCATTTCATTATGGTTAAATGAATGTGGTTTATCACAGTTTTCATGTAAGTTGTGATGGTACCATCAAATTAAAATCTGTAGAACCAATCCTGACTGAGAAACCTCAATGGAAACCATAAAACAACTTGCATCGGCAGCGGATCCAGGGTTTTCCTAAGGAGTTGACTGGGTGTTTAAGTGGCTGGGTGTTGCAATCAACGCAAAAGAGACCAAGGGCTTGATATAATAAATAAAGTTAAGCATCATTTAGTATGAATGTTATTCAGGGGGCCTCATGACATTTGAGATTGTTTTTCCATTCAGTCAATAATTAACCTTGGTCAGTCGGAAGAGCTGATTAGCCACACCAGCCAACTGCTTGGACCCGCCATTGCATATCTTTTAACTATAATTATGACCTCGTTGAACAGTCCGTGTATACTGCAGACTGTCATCCAGTAAGGATTAACGCTTAAGCCTAGTTTCGACCATCACATCACAATTTTTGATACAACGACTTATTGCCAGATATATGCTCAAACTGAATTGTAGTGTGTGCTATTGTGTACTCACCTTGTAAGCCTCTCGCAGACCGCCATTATCAGCGATGTTCTCAGCTTCTGTCAACTGACCGTCAACCTGATAACAATGATTATAGACTCGATATATTTCGTAACTGGCGCTTTTTACAGGAAATGCTTTTTCCGAGGTTGGCTGTTTTTTTTCGACTACCAGGTTGAATGAACGTGGAAAAGATGCATTCAATAAACATAGCAAAAGCAGTGCCAATTTTAAACCACGAGATGCTAGTTGAATCCCTTCCAATGTGAAGTTGCTAGTTACAGTTTACGGGCGTTCCTTTTATTATTTCTATGGTTCTAATAATTACTTCTGTCTCTGATTTAGGGTCGGTCAATTAGCGAAAAATCAAAATCTGCAGCAAACAATTTTTGCAATTGAACCCGTTTAGATGACTAAATTGAATAATGCCAAATGCCCAACATAGCGTCGGAAATGAGAACCAAACAATTAGAACGAATTCTACTTGATCAATCTGTGCAGATAGTTCGCCTCACTTACACGTTTGCCGTTCTCAGGCATGACAAAGCCAGAGTACTGATTCACCAAACACTCTGCTGCGCGTGTAAAACCGTAGATAGAAGTGTAACTCCACCAGTTCTCGATGTTACCGTGTTGGTCAAAGAGTCTCCCTGTGATAAAAGAGTTGATGTTCAATAGGCTAATGAGAGCGTAGAATTTGTAATTACATAATGTTATAACGTTATTAATTTTCTTTCCAAAAGGTATTCCTTGTAAGTAATAATATATATCAGAGCTTTTGACCATAAGAAAAAGGCCTCGTTGCTGTGTCATTTGGCCTTGTCAATGTCTCATACAATCACAAGCATTGCCAACGGGCCAGGGTGCTTGCTCCCTCAAAAAATACAAGTTCCTATCACAAATTTAAGGCAAACTCCGCTCGACGTTCCATAAAGTAACATTATTTCGACCATACCCTTGTTGTCAAAACCATGTGTTATTTCGTGCCCAAGCACCACTCCCATGCCACCAAAATTGGAGTACCTGTATCGGGAGAAGACAATAATTAAAAAGATACAGTTTTTTTTCCTCGTGAAATATAAGGGGACTAGGCTTTAGAGAATGCATGTGCAGTTATGCCTAGGCGTATTGGCCATGCATCTAACTGCCTCGATAATGCCTTTTCATGTTCAAAATTTCTAGTTACTTTTGTCATACCAATATCTGAAATTCGTGTTTCGATAGCTCACATGGCCTATGCAACTGGTAAACAAAATGACTTAAATATAATTCTTTTATAAAACTGTATCTCTCTTGAGAAAGAATTGAGTCACCAAAAAATCTAAAATAAAAAGGATGTTTTTTTGAAATACACACCACGGCATGTCGGCATGATAAAATGGTGGTTGGAGGATACCGGCCGGAATAACTGAGGAAGAAAAGAAGAAAAACAGCTTATTTAGGTGGATGGACGTGAGCTTTTAACATGTATAAAAACTGATCGACATTTCGCGCGCGCTGCTTTCACAAGTGTAATTTTAAGGTTAACGTACCTATTCCATTGTCAAAAGGGCTGTAGTACGCGTTGATCACTGCAGGTCCGCTATCGTCCCACCTGTAATAACCACACAAAGTTGGATACAAATCACAGCAAATGTAGGTTGAACAGCAAATACCCACAAACACGCACCCTCGAATCGTTGCTTTTCATACTGACAAACGTTCCCAGCCTTTTATTCTGTGCCAATATGCATTTTGTTTATAGTTTATTATAGTGTATTTAATTTTCTTGCTCGTTGCACTTCAAGTTCTTGTTTGTTGTATTTACCGTACGCCTATTATGCCGGGTCCTTGTTTGTTCCGTCAGCCAAACGCAAACAGAAAACAAACGCACTGAATTTAGCGCAATATGAAACACACTGATTTATGAAGCTCCACCAGCAACAGCAACTTCTTTCGATGCTCAATCACTGAACTCAGTCTCTCGTTCGCCCCCTGGTTAGATAACTTACAACAGAGTGCACAACTTTTATACAATGTGTAACATTTAACCCGCCCTGGGCGTCTGGAAACCCGTCCCGCGTAAACGGACCAAAAGAAACCCACTTATTAGAGCCTATTTCCGGAGTGCACGCTACTGGCCAGACAAAGAAAACCAGGTCACCCCACCATCCGCAAAGCAGACTATACGGCAGTAGTTACCAAAGATACTATGTAGAAGGAAAGATAGGACAGTCCGCTGAAAAAAAAAGTGAAACCGGTAGTACTTGCTCAGAGGTCATGATGGGGAAGGGCGCCTCGCACGGTAGGTAGGTAAAAAGCAGATTTGCTCCATGCACTCAAGGTGTGCAAAGCCGCTAAACTATTCTTTTCTTGGTAAAATCACGCAGATATGTAAAAATGTAAAGCAGTTTATTCTCTGATTACTAGCACCACTCATGTGCTTCATGGGGAAATGCCTAAAAGTGCCTAAAAACTGTTTTGACCGTTTACAGTATTATGCTAATGAGCTTACTGTACAGGAACATGTATTATGATTCAGAGATGGTGTGAACAATTTCCCCCTATTCTTTCCACTTTGCATCATGTGTATTGTTTATGGCTTATTCTCAATAGGATTTTTTTAAAGTATAAACAATATATTTTTAAATTAATTGTTAAACTACTTAATTAATTTTTTTTAATGGCTTTATTGTTCTTTTTTTTTAAAAGAATTTTAGTGTACAGCGCTTTTAATTCAATGTAAAACGTCTTTAAAATAATATGACTCTTTATTACACCGTCAAAAAATTGAAGGGATCTTATAAGCTTTCTATTCATGTTATGAGCAATGGGTTTTACATAGAAAGTTATTTTTTCATAAAATTAATAATAAAAATAAAATGCGGATTTTTGTTTCAAGGCAAAAAACTTGAAGCTGGTTTCCATATGAGGAAAGTTTTAGACTTTTAAGCAATCAGATTTGCCGCTAAATACAAAAAAAAAATATATTCTCTGATATTGGTAAGCATTGCTAAATCTAGACATGTTACTATTTTCACTGACAGGTCTACTTTTATTCCCCTTTTATTGATGTATTCGTTCATTTATTTATTCCCTAATTTGTTTTATTAATTTATCGATGTAGTCGTCTTTTTAACGTAATTGTTTTCTTCATCAATGAAAATCCCGCTCGCATTATACACCCGATATAGCCGCTTCGCTCGTACCCCGCACCGCAAACAGGACGCTGGGATACGCTGATGAATTCAAGCTCTAGCTGATTGGATATATTTTGCGCGACTTGTGACCTGAAAGTCATCACGGCCACGACTTTCGCTCGTACCCCCCCCCCTGCAAGGTTTTAAACGGCCATTAAGACTGAGTCATCACCCTTTTATTCCTACTCATAAATGCTTTTTTTACGTTGAAAATCGTAAAAATGTAGGAAAATCTGTAAACTTATCTGTTTTGCAAATTTTCAGTTCTCGTTACTTGCTCGGGCTCCGTTTCGAATTCACGAACTTAGGGTCAAATTGCATATTATACGACGCTCAAAATTTGTCCACATGGTTCCCAATGAAAAAGAAATCACATCTGGTATGGGATGTAGTGTATGCAGACTACAGTAATCTATTTATAGCGTAACCAGTGTATGACGTCATTTTTTTGTGATTGGATGTACACTCTAGTACGTGTGTACTCTAGTGTGTTATGGCATGACATGGAACGTGAATACAATACGAAGCAACCAGAAAAGTATCCCTAATCTCTGTCTCTCATTAATCGGGTAATATATGACGTACGAACGGAACAGAATGTATGCATTTCTATGAGAAAGTTTTCGGATAGCATTTGCAGCCAGATGTCTTTGTACAAAGGTCATGATAAATTACCCCAAATGCCACCCCACTTCCTTCACAAGATTCAGTGAAGCTCATCAGCGTGTCCCAGCGCCCTGTTTGCAAGGCAAGGGAAGGAGCTTTGATGACGTCAGGTCACCGTACAAATAGATACCCAGTGTCCTATCTTCTCCTCTATAGTTTCTTCGAATATACCCACCGATACCTGCGGTATAGCTTTCGGACACCGGCGGAGGCTCAGGACAAAGTTAGAGAAAACGGCTTCCTTTAGTGTCCGTTACATCAGATTGTTTTAACCCTACTGTTTTGGTGTACTCATTGACGTAGGCCCCCTTGGTTGATTTCTATGGAATACTTACAAAGACTTGTCAACGGGAAGCCGCAGTCGGCGCAGTTGAGTCTGTGCAACCCGCCTGCCGTAGTTGACAACATTGGTGAAGTATGAGTTTGATGTGACGACCAACTGCGACAAAAACGGCAGGTTTATGATGTTGTTGTGTCTACCTTATACGAACTTCAGTTGTCAAGTTACGTGGGCGAGCACAGTACGCCTGTGCTAACTAACGATACATTTATTTAATAATTTAATTATTTAATAATGGCGTCAAAACACCAGAAGAATAGTGATAACCCAATGTTGAACATAAATTTATAATGATGATAAACGTGCCATTATGACCGATTAAAATATACACGGCATAGAGTATCAAATAAGTGTGAATACACAAACTATACATACATCAACAGATTTGGCATCTAGTGTGGCATTCACTTTCAGCCAATCTGGGTAGCCAACGCTGACTCCCATTGCATCAAGCTGGAATGAAGAAAAATCACATACATCCAAAACAAATACAAAATATATAATATACAAGCACATACATTCGTAGTATACTTTTTTTCGGGGATTCTTATGGTTTCTTCGTTTTCTAAAGAACTTCGAGGAGACCGAGGAGACCGAGTATATAAGGCTGATGTGAATTATTTGTACCTGCAATTTGTCCCATGTAATGGCTCCAGACATATTATTAAGGTCATTTTTCGCGATCTGTTTAAACCGTCTACATGGGGATTTTTCATACACTTAAATCAGCCATAAATAATATATACATCTAATTTGATTGTACTGCAAACTCTAAGTAATTATTATTTTAGTTTTGAGCTCTTGGCAACAGAGAGAGGCTAACACAGACCTTCTGACGGGCTTTAGCCCTGTCGCTGTATGACAACCAACGGACTGACCCAAACATGGCTCTCAGTGCTCTCCGCAGTTGACCAACCATCTCTTCTGTCTAAAACACACAAAGCAAACGAAAACGTTACATATTGTCGTAAGGAACAATTTTTAGCCATAGTAGCAACCAAGTTCCTACCTCAACATCAGGAAATGAAATGTGCCTTTTTTTGCTCCATTGTGAATTGGATGCTGTGGTGAAGCCCGTTGAGGCGGTCTCAGAAGAGCAAAACATTCTTCTGCCCGTGCTGCCAGATGACGAAGGTGTCATCGACGTACCGGAGCACAAAAACTCAGAGCCAGAACCGGGGATATAGGGGATCACAATTAGTTCCAGTCGACTGTTCAAAGATTTTATGTCGCCAACAGAAGCTAGATGAGGTGACACAGGTGGGGAGAAGATCATAAAGCTGCATGGTCAGGGGTGAGGTCGGTACGGTCCTTGAGGGAGGAATACAGTTGAAGTCTTTCCTTGGCAATGTTGCTGGCGTCAGAGGGGGACAGTGGTGAAGAGAGAGCCATATCAAAGCTGACCATGATGTCGTCTGGCTTAAGGGTGAGATCGTCGATGAAGGTGGCAAACTGGTCGGAGTTCTTGACGTGGTGATCGATGTTGCCTACTAGGGGGTGAAGGACCTTGGCGATGTGTCTTGCTGTGTTGTAAAACGGACCTCCCCTAGAGGCCACGATGGGGCGTAGAGGGACATCTTGCTTATATAGATCTCGGGCTGTCCGAAGATCTTGGGGCATTTGGAGCTGGAGGGGCGGAGTTGCATGTGCAAGGTCTAAGAGATTTTGCTGGAACGCCTGAGGGTGGGAGCTTGCTTTGTATCCTCTTCTCAATAGATGGTGTGGGGTCCTTGCGAAGTGGTAGGAGCCCTAGTTGAGGAAGTCCCCTACCTGGATGATTGCGTGTTTGTCGGGGTGTTTGTTTGTTTGTTTCCATTCATATACATTCATACTGTTTGGTGAAACCCAAACATATTCCCAATACAATTTATGAAATGAAGAAAAACAAAACAAAAACACAGTATGAATTGGGGTGTCATCAAGAGAACATGTATGTTGTTTTTGCCTGCACATCTGTGTGTTGTTTAATATTACATCCGCTGCAGAATGTTACTGTTGCCTTTATTGCTGAATATTATTTTTCAAGAGCTCCGGTTGCAGAATGCTGTTTGCTACTTAATGGTTGACAGTACTTCTACTGCTGAATGTTGGTTTTGCTTCCACCGCTTATATTGTTACTGCTTCCGCAGCTGAATGTTGTAAATGTAGAAGCAACATTCGGCAGTTTCCTCAGCTTTCTGTTGTTATTGCTTCAGCTGCTGAATGGTATATTTGCTTGTGCTGATGCGTGTTATTTTAGTAGATTGTAAGGTGGCGTTTGCATTATTATGTTGCTGTGGGAGTTGGCTGAATAGTTTGTTATGTTGTAGTTTGTAGTTTGTAGTAATTGTGTTGTAGTCATCGTTGATGTTTAATTGTGGCTGATTATTGATTTTGTTATTGCATGTGACGACTGTAGGCCCTACCTTCGTCTTGGTGTCTGTGGCGAAGTACTCGTCCACGTACATCCTCCCAGTAGCAAATGGTAGCACGGTGTTGACCTGCTCAGTGCAGAGCTTCCATCGATCTTCAGCTGCAGAGATCCCGCGAATAGCCTTCAGGTATTTCTGGTGGATGACCACATACTCCTCCCCAAGATAGGGCACCATCTTGCTCACAAGTCGCCAGATCATATAGTTGGCTACCACCCTAATGAAATCAGGAAATATAACAGTTTTAATGACATTTGGTAATACATGTTGATTAATAGAGCGGCAGTACGATGTTCCAGAAAGTGCAAGGTCGAATCTCGCTTCAGACAATTTCTATATTTAACCCATTAATTGACGAATTGTGCTTCCAATTAACGCTCATTTGAAGACAAGACATGGCAAAGCCTATAGTAAAGCTGGTCCCACAGTGCGCAAATATTCTATTCAATTGATTCAGAATGGCTATTCTCGGGAAGTCTTGTCATGCATCTGTTCTACACAATGGGCCGGTATTAGCCCATTTATTGACGTTACGGTATAATCGTGTACGACAGCACTGCTCGGCTCACAAGTGACAGTCTGTAGTCAGAGACTAAGGATGGCTCTCTGTAACCAGTAAGTGCTGTGTAGAATAGTTGTCCTGGTTTGTGGAATATAATACCTTTTTGACACAGTGTTCCCTAACACCACAATGTTAAGTTAAAATAAGCTCAAAATGTCTCAGACCTCATTGCCTGGACTGAGATGCCTGAAATTCGAGACGCGTTTTTGAAGGATTTCAAACCTGCTGATGCATAGGCATCGAGTTGCGTATTTCAGGAAGTACCAATGAATGAACGAGTTTAAGCGTTATGCAATATCATATTTCATGGCGCCCGAATTTCACGTTACATCAATATTTAGATTCACCTGTGTCGCGACCATCTCAATAATCTAGCAACACTCCTAAGGTAGGATGGTGATATGACTACGATGCTTTCACTATCTGACACAGACGGTTGCACGCTTGATGGTAGTAGATAGCGATACAGACTAGCCCAGTTGACCTGACAGGGAGAAATGAAACGAGACGTCCAGTCACATGACCTTGTACTTTGTGGCATATAAAATACTGTTTGTAGCTTAGATTGTGACGCAGATTCGGAAAGGGTAAAACTTTCTTTTTAAAGTCCAGAATAGCTTACATTAGCCCTTTTTATATCGGAAGTCTATTCCATCCAGGGATCAAACTAATCAAGGTACATACATTTAACGGTCAACCGAATGAGATGACAACAGTGAAAAATATCACATGCAGAATAAAGCACCAGATGGAATCTGTAGTTATATATATATATACGAACACGAACACATACGTTAATACTCAAAACTTTGAATAGACTCAATCAAGAGTCTATCACACAAGACAAATAACAAGTGAGATCACACGTTACAGGGACCAAAGAATGACAACAGAAAGTGTTTTTCAAACACAGATTTCATTACGTTGCGGGATGACTGCAGACTGGATGACTTCTGATTAACTTCTGATTAACCTCATGACTTCATTACAACTTTTTTTTTCTGGACCATGAACAAAACAACGAAAAAAATACATGTATTGTACAACTTAAGCAAGTGGTATTTTTAGTGGTGTACCTCATTGTAGGTAGTTTGAAGATTGCGCAGAGTAAGTGTGTCAGGTAGATCAAAGACGTCGCTAATGGCGGCCACGGCGTCCTGTTGAGAGATTAACACACATTTTTTGTCACGTTTTCAACCACAAGATTGAATAGTAAGAACACAAGCAACTGAAACAATAATAATTATTGCCTATGCCTTGATCAGTACGGAGTTATATTCTTTGTACAAACCCGTCTGTTTCAACTGTCATCAAAATTGTCTATGATGTGGGGATTTCCGTTAAAGACTCGGTTGGACCGTTCACGTGCGAGTACTTCAATCTCTATCAGTCGAAAAATGAAACGAGTTTTATTTCAATACCAAATAACGCGGCAAAATATCATCGGTTATATAATGTATCACGATTTATGATTCGTTGAACAATTTATGTGAAATTCCTCAGGTATAATATGTGATGACAGTATTAAATTAATATTGTGGACATGCATTATAAGAAGCAAGATTGCGGACTGTATCTCCTACCCTTGCTAGTCTTTTCTCAAACTCAAGCACGTCGTTCATGTCTCTACTGGCCTCGCTTTGGTCTCCGCCCAGAGCCACGGCAATGTCGACCATGTACTGTAGGTAGGCTGCTCGTTTCTATTTATTTTCAAAAGATTAACAATGGGGGTAGACAGTAATTGAAGAAAGCCAAGAATCATGTGAGCGAGCTGGGGGAAAACAACACGGGAAAAATCAGGCCGGGAGACGGGTGAAGGAGACTGATAGCCATCACAGTACCATGCTAATGAGGCAAGAAAATGTTCCCAAGATAAAGTGGCATGCCCAGCAGAAATCAGAAGACAGCCGTTTTGCTCAAGTATTATACCTCTGAATTATTAGTAATATTATTCTTTTTAATAATGTACTGCCAAGCCACTCCATCTTTGCCACAAGAGCGTAAATTAACACTCGCAGATTGACATATTGACAGAAAGACTGTCAATGCATGCAACAGCAAAACTGAGCAAACAAAAACGAAAACGAACAGTTGTTTCCTAAACTTACTTCCTCAAGTTCATCCAACAGGAGCAAATGTCGGCCAAAGTCTTTAGAAAAAGACTCGGGAATCTATCAGGGCAAAAATACAATGCAGAAACTGCATCACAAAAAACCTCACATTCTGTAAGTTAAACACCATTAAGCAGCACATTTGTCGATGGCCACTGCAATACATTGTGCAATACATTGTGCTGTAAAGGAATATGAAAAGGCTTCGCACGGAATATGTGCCAAAAAATGATGAGTTATATGTTTCAAAATGCATTCATAAATACCTAAGACAGTTTTCCTATTCCTATTGGTTGAGAGCCCGTCTCGTGGCCAGTTTTAAACGGTTGATAAAGACTGGGTGGCTGGTCTTAAAGACTTTTCCAGTGTCACATCAAATTTGGACTGCTATGAAACCTGGTGCCTTTTAGTTACCGTTTTATTGGTTGCAAGTTCACAACGCTCACGTAGGCAAACGCAATACTACCAGTAAGTCAGTATTTCATAGTCCTAAATTCACACTACAACGGCACAGCTGTGTTCTGCGTCACATCACGTAGTGCGCGTGACGCGCGCGCCAGTCTCCATATAAGGAGTTGTTTACAACATGGGCATACCATAATATAGCTAGAGGGCTGTTTCGAAAAACATGAAGTGAAATTTTGAACAAAATCGTTGGAAATATGTATATATTTTTGACTTGTTGTGACTTTTGGACCGAAATGTTGTTGTTGTTTTTTTTTTTTTTACCGAAAAGGTATTTATGAATGTGGGAATAAATATGTGCTTGGCCGGTAAAGAAAACGTTGTTTGTGTTAAGAAGAAAAAAGGATAGCTGGTGCAGTTACATAGAAACAGGATTTTCTGGGTTTAGGCGACCGTTGAGCGTCCTGGCCATTTTTGTTCACTCATAGGTGGTACAAAGCTCGCAGCCCTGTGTAAAGGGGGCCTTAATAATTTGTGCCTTCCACAGAGGGTTTGAAGTCACTTTACTACTAACCATTGTGCGCGCTTCCACTTAAGTGTCGTGACAGAGCCACCATACACTTCAGCCATTGCATAGTGAACAAGACCTCCTTTTAATATAAATGTTACAACATATTTTAAATCGTTGAATGGACTAACCAAGGAGGCGAGCCGTTTCTGTCTGTCTGCACGGAATTGAAGAGGCACGGTGAATTCTGGAAAATCGATCTAACAAGGATGAGATAAGACAAAGTCAGATTACCGGTAGTTAAGAAAACTGAATTTTCATGAGGCCTAAAAACACCTCATTACTCTCCCCATTTGGTTTTTACTGGTATACCGGAAGGGAAGCCTAGTATTATCCATACACCTATCTTTTTCTGACTGCCTCACTGTTTGATTGACTGCCACTTTTATTATGCCTTAGACTGGTTGTAGACTCGTGAAGAGGGCTGGAGGTGCTATCTTATGAATTACCCCTAATACTCCAAGTGATGAGCTAAATCCGGTCCATCGTGTAGATCAGATACATGCACAGACTTTCGATATTTTTTTTTATACATAGAATGGCGTTAATTACGGAAACTGATTTACCTGGAGAATGTACCTTCCGGTGTTTTCTAGATTGATTCGAACTTCAGTCAATATGACCACATCTATGTTATACTGGGAGCTAAGAGTCGCCCACAACCTCTCGAAGTTGTACGAAATTTGACTCCAGCTACCACCGGGGTTGGACCCAAGGACTGGCCATCCGCCAAGGGACTGCAATGTGTCTGTAAGCGGTCGGGCTCCTAGGCCGTTAATAGTATCTGTTTGGGAAAAAACACAATTGTCGCACGGAATTGGTTAGTTTTCTGTCGTGCAACCAACAAAAAGTGCAAAGAAATGTCATACAAAAGAATTTGGTCACAATGTATTAAGGTCTGCTAAAAACTTTTCAACATACTATTGAGAACAGTGAGTCTCATATTTCTCTCGTTTACCTGTCTTTAAAAATAAACATAATTACCAGAGCCTTGAGTACCTAATTGTTGGTAGATACGTGCACTATATAAGACTCCGGTATTATTATTCAAAAGAGACCACTGGAAAGGTGGCAATAAAGCAATTTGTAATTTGATTAATATTTTTTTATAAGTGTTGCATGTACATTCTTAGAATCTGACAAAGAAGTCGAAGGATGATGTTTATATTCAAACCTAGGTCAAGGCAGGCACTGTAGAACGTTCTCACTTTGGAGAAGGACTCCGGCTCGCTTGGTTGTGGATCTCTGCCAATCAATTCTGTTTAAGGAAAGAGTTAAGAGATCATAGGAGTTATGGATTTTGATAGTAAAGGTTATGATTTGTGTCGCTCGTGGTATTAGTACACGGTATATACGGGCGTCACCAGACCAATTTGAATGGGAGGGATAATAATTGTCGCCGACGGACCACCTTGTGCTGGAGGAAAGAAATGATTCTCACCGCAAGGAGGAAAGGCGGGGTGGACACCATCTGACTAAGGCAGTGGCGTAGCCATGATTTTGTTCGGGGGGTGGGGGGGGGCAGCAGAATGTTTAAATCGGGATAGCGCTAAGGGCGGATCCACAACAATATTTTCCAATTCTGTTTTTAGAGGGCCGACTGGCCAGCCAATTTTTACAAATTCGAAAAGCGGGGGAGGGGGGGGGGACGGACCACATTTGACGCAAGGGCGTGCTGTGTTTCCCGTTTTCCCCTTTTTTATCGCTTTATTCATATTTCAAAAATCCGTAAGATGCTTGGTTTAGCTCCACGTGTTTAGCTCCACATGTTTATTGCTTAAATGCGTGGCATGTAGTTTGTTACATAATAACGAAATAAAATTTTAAAAAAATAACGAAAAATCTTTTAAAGAACTCAATATGACTGCCATTTTATCGCGCAGGATATATTGATGAAAAACGACAGAGTGCTTACCTTTCAGCTTTTCTTGCAAGTCGTCATCTAGTTCGGTGAATCTGGTAACTTTTAGTTTGTCGTTGGGGATCACTTGCCTGTTATTCCATCCTCCGCATGCGTACTCAAAGAAGTTATGGCACGGGTCTTGGGTCTTATCCATGCTGCTTAGAATGATGGACGCTGGTGTTGGTGGTGTTGTTGGTGTTGGTGGCTTCGTTGGTGTTGGTGGCGTTGTTGGTGTTGGTGGTTTCGATGGTGTTGGTGGCGTTGTTGGTGGTGGTGGCTTCGTTGGTTTCGGTGGCGTTGTTGGTGTTGGTGGCTTCGTTGGTTTCGGTGGCGTTGTTTGTGTTGGTGGCTTCGTTGGTGTCGGTGGTGATGTTGGTGTTGGTGGCAATCCCCAGTTTTGGGAGGCCGAGCTCCCTTTAGACATTACACCAGTAACTTAGGAGAGAGAAAGAAAACGACGTTCTGTACGTCTATATTTACACTTTTCGACATTGCCAGAAGCACTCATTCTACCACCCCCTTTTTTACAGTATGATTAGTAATCCTGTCCCTCAATTTCTTTTTCCTACCCTACCTCAAGGAGAACCTTAGAGAGAAAGTGCCAATTTTGGGTTCTAAAACGCGTTTACACGACAACTCGAAATGATAATAGTTGGAAAGATCATTTATGAGATATATGACGTTCACGGTTCACATATGATATTACCGTCGAATTTTGCTGTTTTTGTGCAATAACCGCGTAAGGGATTTCGGTTTCAAAATTTGGTTCTCGGGGGAGGACGATCGTGAGCATGCACTTTTTTATCGGACAAAAAGTGACACTAGCTCTTCATGGCGGCACAATATGTCCAACAATCGTGAGACGTTAAACAGGGGATGCTCGTGATTATGGTGAAGTGAGCTAGGCCGAGCCCGAGCCAAACCCGGGCCTGTAGCCTATAGCCATGTTTCTAAAACGCCCTTATTAGAAAGTGTTCATAAATCACAAATGAAGAGTTTAATTTCTAAAACGCGACATAGGCATTTGAAAATTTGCACGGTTACAACAACAGTACAAGAGCTTTGGGGTGTGACTCTCTCCCCCCCCCCCCCCCCCGTAGCGACGTCCGTGCTCACTCCATGTAAATGTATAATGTCTTACCAAAAACAGCAACAACACCGCCGAAAATGACAGCACAGACTATCAGCAATATGATTTTGGGCAGTTTACGCGGAACCCTTGTCTCCGTTCCATCACCTGTAGTTAGCAAGGCCCTCGGGCTGTCTCGTTCTTCCGTGTTTGTGCTGCTCATATATATGGCTTCCATGGTGATTTTGCTCTGTCTTTCTGTAAAGAAAACGTTGTTTGTGTTAAGAAGAAAAAAATATTCACCAATTGTGTACACTGATTAGCAAATCGAGACAGTGCAAGGCCCTCGGGATGGCTCGTTCTTCCGTGTCTGCGCTGTTCATATACATGGCTTCCATGGTGATTTTGCTCTGTCTTTCTGTAACGAAAACGTTGTTTGACACTGATCAGCAAATCGAGACAGGGCAAGCCCGGTGAAGCTGGTCCAAGAGTGCACAAAATGTTATTCAATTGATTCAGAATGGCTAGCATCCACATCTATTCGTGCATCGTGTTTACGCAATGGGCTGGATTTAGCTCACGGTGGAGCAATCCTATACAATAGCACCGCGCGGCTCTCGTCACCATCATCATCTTCATTATCCCCATCATCATCATCGACTCAGCGTGGCTCGAGTCGAGCACGGTGACGAGCACGGAACACAGTAAGTCATTAAATTGGCCAGTTTCTCTCTTGTCTCCACGCCAGTGTCATCTGTAATTGTCTTCCATTAGGTCAGAAAATGACTTTACTGGCTGGTAATTCAGGGTGGCGGTAGCAATGTCCTGCTAGTCTGAGTCTCCTGTATTCGATCTTTTCTGGTATGATAGGCAGATCCACATAAAGCTCTGCATTCGAAATATGATCTCACTAACTGACGTTTAGTACCACCAGAAGTATCCGAAACAGCAGCCATTGAGAGACTTAGTCATGGCTTTGGTAATGAGTCCGGACCTCGCAAAAAATAACCCTACAAAAGGATCGAATTAATTGCCGCCTGAAAAAAGCCTCAGCCTTAGCTTTTTCGACATCTGCCCTTTCCATACATTTTGTTCATGTTATGAAGGGCTTTCCATGCCGGGTCTTTCCGTACTCGGATGTCTCTATTAGTACTCTCACAGTCGAGTAGCTCTTGTGCTCCATTCATCTGATCGGATAGTAAGGCTATATCGCCAGCATACAGTCTAGTAGGTCAGATGTTGTGACTGGTCCCGCTCTTAGAGCCTTCGTCGGTGTTATAGTGAAGCCCAAATCTTCGTGTGCCTTGAGCGCTTGACGCCAGCATACAATCTAGTAGGTCAGATGTTGTGACTGGTCCCGCTCTTCGAACCTTCGTCGGTGTTATAGTGAAGCCCAAATCTTCGTGTTCCCTGAGCGCTTGACGCCAGCATACAATCTAGTAGGTCAGATGTTGTGACTGGTCCCGCTCTTCGAACCTTCGTCGGTGTTATAGTGAAGCCCAAATCTTCGTGTTCCCTGAGCGCTTGACGCCAGCATGCAGTCTAGTAGGTCAGATGTTGTGACTTCGAACCTTCGTCGGTGTTATAGTGAAGCCCAAATCTTCGTGTTCCCTGAGCGCTTGACGCCAGCATACAATCTAGTAGGTCAGATGTTGTGACTGGTCCCGCTCTTCGAACCTTCGTCGGTGTTATAGTGAAGCCCAAATCTTCGTGTTCCCTGAGCGCTTGACGCCAGCATACAGTCTAGTAGGTCAGATGTTGTGACTGGTCCCGCTCTTAGAACCTTCGTTTGTGTTATGGTGAAGCCCAAATCTTCGTGTTCCTTGAGCGCTTGACGTATTAAACACATAGCCAAGTACGACGATGAAGAGAATGGTGCTAGCATGTCTCCTCATGCAATACTCCAGCTAAGATGTCAAACTCTTCACTATTTCCATCCGTGTTGCTAACTCATTGCTTTTCTACCCGTATTTAATTATGTAGACCCAATGGCTCTGAGGAGGCGAGGAGGAAAGCTTCCCCCTGTGAATAGAGCCGAACGCTTTCCTGAAGTCAATGAATGTTAAGACAGCAGGAAGATTGTTCTTCTTTACTTCCTCAATGATTCCATATAGAGCGCAAGAATAGGCACCACTCTTTTTGTCTTCTCTCTTAAGCCATTTCGATTGTACCTCAGCTTGAGATCAATTGCGCCTCTATCATATTATATCAGCCGGTTGTTTATCTCGGACATGATACAAGTTTACGGCTTATACCGTGGTAGTTGTCTCTAAAGGTTAGGTTACCAGACCTCGGTCTTGCTACGATATTTGAAAGTGACCATTGAGCAGGCCTGTCATTCAACATTAATGATGCGTTGCAAAACTCAAGCATGATTCCATCAAAGTCACAGTTCTTGAGTACCTCTGGGGGTATGCCGTCGGGCCCTGGACTTTGACCCTGTTGCAGTGATGTTTTTACTTTCCTCATCCATTGTAAATTGGTCACATCGATGTTTATATATGGCAAGACAGGATTAATTTCCTGGTCCTCATCTGTACGTGGGGGATACTAAGAAGTCTGTTAAAGTGGGTATTCCAGGCTTTCACTCACTCTTCCGGCGAAGAACCATAGATTTGTCCAGTTCTAGCTTTCTTCCGTCCACTGATCTCGTTTAACGATATTCCAAAAAAAACAAGCTTAACAATCACTGGCTGTTTCCACTGCCTGTAGGTTCTTTTGCAGTTCTTCCTCTCTCAATCTCTCATATATACTGTACAAATCACTTTTCGCAGCTTTGAGATCAGCTTTGGATTCAGAGGACCTTTCATGCACATAGTTCTTTAACATTCTTCCACCACTTTTCGGACTTTTCTGCCACTTTTCCACTTTTGGCAAGCTCTTCAGGGCTTCTGAGTTGGCTTCGATGAACCTGTGATACCAATCTGCAGGCGCGGTTGTACGGGGGGGAGGGGGGGGGGGCTGGGGGGGGGGGCTGTAGCCCCCCCCCCCATTTTTTTTGTCTAGCCCCCCCCCCCAAATAAATTCCGTAAAAAAAACCAATTGCATTAGCAAAAAGAAGGATTGTGATGTACATGCGAACGGTCTCCCCCTAAAGAAGAAATAGCCGTGACAAGGGTGCATTAGTTAATATAGTGTGAATGATTTTAGGATTTTATTGGCGCTCCCCATTGAAAATATGGCATGAGCCCCCCCCCCCCTCCACCTATTGATTTTCGGAGGCCTAAGTGTCTGGAAAAAATAACCGGTCTACATTTCAGCACGCCTCCCTGAAAAAATTCTGGATCCACCGTGCTAGCCCCCCCCCAAAAAAAATTGGTTCTAGAACCGCGCCTGCCGATCTGTGGCGCTTTCAGCCGATTGTTCAGCTCCCTGTTCTTCTAGCGTTCGAAGATGCTCAGATGCTCAACCTGCAGAGCTTGAAAGCAATTTTGCACTTCAACCGTGCACTGGGCTTGTAGGTCAAGGCTAGTAGAGAATGAATTCCAGTCAATTTTCTCCTTGGGTCTTAATGGTCTGGGACGTCTCAGGCTGAGCGTAACTTTCATTAAGACAACTCGATGGTCTGAGTTAATCGTTTCGAATGTGTTGTGGGCTTCTACATTCCGAACACTGTTACGTCACTTTCTCCTGATAAAGATGTAATCAATCTGATGTCTATCCTCGGTCGCTCTATCTTGAAAGGTCCAAAGCTTCCCTCTTTGCTTCTGAAAAATGGCTTATGGTGGCTTAAAGGTTATGGTCTTCGAGTAAGTTGACTAAACGCAGACCGTTTCTGTTCGTCTTATTGACCTATCACCGTTTGCGAGTTAGCCACGCCCCTTAGAAAACCCTGGAATTTGGTACACTTTATTTTGCTTGTCTCAGATTTTGCGCGTTCCGCGACCGCCATTTCTATCATGGACCTTATCGCAGATAGCCGTTTTTGGCACTGTGCATGTGCGCGCAAAAACAAGAAACAACTGATTTTGTTCGTCACGTCGCTGGTCGCTTGAGCGCGTACTTTAAAAATGTAAACTTTCTAAGCGGAAAGAGCAGACAGAACGGCATTTCCAGAGATCCTCCTACCTCTACCATGGCCAGGCGATTTGCAGGGTTACGTTCCTGTTTCTCCACAAGTAACTTTCCGAATATTTTTTAACGATAAAAAGGACTCTAACGTCATGAACGTCAAACTCAAGTCAAAGGGAAAGGCTGTGCCTGTGCAAGAATCTCAAGGGAAGGAAACAGGACAACTCGTACGCGAACCAAGACGTCAACTCGTACCGGAGTGAAGACGTATCCTCTTAAATTTGAGCTTGGCAAACACAAAAAAGCAAATGTAGGCCTGTAAAAACAATTTTAATTCGCGTTCATCAATAGGTCCACCCACCCATAAAAAGTGGGTACGAGTTGACCCCTGTAACGATTTAAACTTGGTACGAGTTGACTCCGGTACGAGTTGAGCTGGGTACGAGTTCACGTGGGTGTGCATAAACTGGGGTACGAGTAACTCGGGTATGAGACCTACAATCAATTGGGAACAGCTAACAAGAAATTCCATTGTGAAGCTACATTGGATGAGCTACATTGGAAGTTTGTTGCAGAGTGACATTATGATTCGATCTCTAATGAGTTTTTACATTTTTGAAGGGCATCATCTGATGAACCTGGGGTTATTTTGTTATTTTTGCCTGGAAGGCCTTGGGTGACCCTGAGCCTACAATCCAGATGTTGAAGTCCAGCACACGCCCCCAACCGGTCAATTACCAACTGTAGAGATCCCACCAGGCTTAGTTCCACAACGCCAACTACGAAAAGATACAAGAGCTCTGCATTGAAACCACAAAGAACACTACACGTACTTGCCCTCTTCCAACGAAGCCAACCAATACAAATTAGGAAAGTTTAAATTCAACCTTGCCCGTTAGGCCAAAAAAAAAAGTCTCCGGTTTCTGGTACGGAGCTTGCCCAAAAAGTGGTGCGGCGACGCGGCTTTTTTTTTTTTTTTACCTGATTTTTTTTGCTTCAAATCATTGAAATGTCGGCTGATGACTGCAAATGGTGCCCGACTAAACTTAGTGCAAATAGATGGGAGTCCAGAGAGGCCACATAAAGCTTATTCTCGACCATAACCAATCTAAAAACACGTTAAAATTGTGCAGCAGCAGGATTCCAGTCAAACCAGTGAGTTTGGCGGTTTTGAGACATCATCTTTCATTGAAAAAAAAACGTTTTCATTTTGCCGACGCGCATGGC